GCATTACCAAACTATATACAAGTGTCAAAGGTACCATAAGTTTCATGGAAAAAACATACATAACCTAAGAGTAGTAGAGATATTATATGAAAATATTAATTCTGTATTCCATACTTTTGACTCCTTCTAACAGCTCGCCCTGTAAGCTGCAAACTTGAGGTCCACAAGAAAGTTGCCGTTAATAATCTGAACAATAACATACTACAATTTAAACAAATTCTGTCAGTACCCAAAATCAATGTAAAAAGTGCGGGGTCCTTTCTAAGACAGAGCAGTAAACTTAACCTTTATTACTATTTTAGACGAAATTTACTGAAAAACGATGTACGATATAAAAATTAGTTGATTAGTCCTCTTTATCCACCTCCATACGCTTCCAGACACATCACGCGCGTTGATAAAAGTAAAAAAATCGGCCGTACACAATTGGATTTTGATTCTTTTTGTCCGATGCGCAAGTTATATAGTGTCCGTTCTAGGGCAATTATCTAAGTAGAGTAGAGTTGGATATCTCATGTTACCGACTAATGAAATAATTACATGCCAACATGCATTTACGGCTGCTAAGCTGAAGCAAAAACGCCTTTGGGAATAGAAATGGGATATTTGTGTACCGCGTTCAAGCGGAGAGGTGTTAAAGAGTAATATTTTATGTTTGTATTAATGTAGATACCTATGTACTATGTACTCGCGAAAATATTGTAAAAATATAAGTAAAACCATTGGCGTACAGTCGGCGCAATCCAAATGTCAACGATCTTTGGTTGTCGTGAGGTTTTTACTGACATTCATTCCTGTAAGTTTGGCTGTGGGAAGAATATTGAAAACAAAAATATATTAGTAGTCTATTTCATAGTAGTAAATTATCCATTGCACAAATATGGTATAACCCGTAAAGGAGGGAGGGAAACTCAAAGTCTTTACCACCGTAAAAAATATATATTTATAGTTAAGGGCAAATAGTTTTCAGTCAAATGACATCATCAGGACTACAAGAAAAACAAACCAAACAGTTATAATATGGGGAAAAACTATACGATGCAAGAGAGATGTCCGACACGTCCAAGATAGGACGCGGTCATTTTGATGCAAACACTACTAGGTTAGGCAACACATATTTACCCAAATCGTTAAACTGGTAGAATACATCTTGGTATTTTGAGATTTTAAATGAAGGCAACAAGTAGAAAAAAACGTTTATTTATTTTGTATAATATACAAGAAACTTCTTTGAAGTAAAGTTATAATTACGAGTGCATCTTGAAATAGAGGTGAGTGGTTTAAAATTATTTTTAACCGACTTCAAAAAGAGGAGGTTATCAATTCGTCGCGATATTTTTTTTTTATGTATGTTCAGCCATTATTCTTTAACACGGTGTCCGATTTCAATAAGTTTTTTTTTGTTAGAAAGGGGGTACTTCAGGGGTGGTCCCATATAAATTTAGTCAAAATCTAATAATTGGGTCCATGAGAAAATCCTCAAACTCTTCATGTTTTATGTATGTTTAGCGATAATGCTTTACCACCTTGTCCGATTTATATGATTCTTTTTTTGTTAGTAAGGGGTTACCTCAGGGGTGGTCCCATATAAATTTAGTTAAAATCTAATAATTGGGTCCAAGAGAAAATCCTCAAACTCTTCATTTTTATGTATGTTTAGCGATAATGCTTTACCACCTTGTCCGATTTATATGATTCTTTTTTTGTTAGTAAGGGGTTACCTCAGGGGTGGTCCCATATAAATTTGGTTAAGATGTGGTGATGGCACCTGCACGTTTTTGAAGTCGGTTTTTTAAAATTTTTAATTTCTAATACTTGTTAAAGTTATGCATATGATTTTAACTTAATATTATGTTTTTCGCCAGTCCCATGCCCATGAACAAACATTTATTTTATTTTTGTCATGATTGGAGATGGGGAAAATTTGTTCTATCTTTGTCCTATTTTTTCAGCTGTAAATATGGTACGAAACTATAAAAACAAAAAAAAGTGAGACAAGAAGGTCTAAAAGATATTACCAGAGCAATATACTCTTGCAGGCAAGCTGCAACAATTTAAAATATAAAATGAGGGACACTTTTATTTATACCCTCTAAAAGTTCAAGCAAAGAAATGGTGAAAATTCAGGAAAGGAAATCAAATGTAAAAAAATTAAAATATGGTAGTCAAACAAGAACTTTTGGTTGAATATCTACAATTCACTATGGTTAAAACTATGCTCAAGTGATATCTTTAATGTCAAAATGTCAAAATAATGGCCTTTAAATAAAAGAACAGACATATCCTCTATATTAGTTATATGTATATCAATGATGTGATCTAGCTATGCCTTTCTTAGTCCGTTGACACAATATTGTTAACAGGATGTTGATATATGCTGGCTCAAAACAATGTTTTTGTTTCTTTTATGATTCTTGTGTATTTCTAACTTACAAAATCAATGTAGGGGAGATCAGGGGCAACTGTACCACGGGACAATTGTACCAAAGCCACGAGACACAGAATGGTGGTAGTTATGGTCACCTAACAAGCTACAGAGAATGAAGTTGATCTAGACGAATGTGTGTTCAGTGTGCTCACCACAAAGCACATAGAGGTTCCACGTGAATGACCAAGGTCAAAACCGACAACTGACATTTTTTATGCTATTTGTTCCAAACTCTAGATGGGGCTACTGGTAAAATTCTGATTTCTTACTCCATTTTTAAGCTTTATGGGAGAAAAACTTAACCAAAGACTCCAAAGATGTCACGTGTATTTATTTATGTTTTCGGTTAATCTCATTTTTCCGTCTGATTTTAGTGATTTTTTGTTGGCTTTGGCTTTTGGTTTCTGTTTATAGTTTCGTCTTAGTTATTTGCAAAATTGTGATGTTATGCTTTTCTATTTGCTACTGTGTTTTGCAATAATTTTGGTGCTACCTGTGGGTGCTACGTTAAAAACTTCGAGAAAAACTTCATTGATTCACCATGCATCTGCATCATAAAAAGACAAACGGGTATAACAACTAATTGATAATCAATTTATCACTGGACTAGATTCCGAAATCATTTTTCACATAAGAGAGTAATACACAAAGCAGTGGAGTAATACCACCATCTGTATTTGGAAGGAAAATACCTATTTATCATTGAATGAATAGTTAAAAGGATTCACCTTTTAATACAATACCTACATTACATTTGTCCTCGGTTTAAAAGACATTTATAAAATATATTATTTTAGTGTTAATAAAATGTAATATCCTAGTCTCTACTTCACATTTAAATTATTGATAGGTATTTTAAAGATTTGAGAGTAAGTATTCCTTAAATAAGTATTATTATTTGTATTTATTTTTATCTAATAATATTTATTTAAGTTATTAATAAACATATTTTAAGAATGTTCTATTTTATTATTTATTGATATATCTTATATTTATTTAATAATAATATGCAGAACCAACTCTCCACATCAGACCCCTGCTTATAACAAATTAATTCCTCAAATTTGGTATAATCGACCTAAATTATTTTGTAAAATAAAAGTTTCGAACTTACTAGTTCCATTCTTTATTTTATAAAATAATTTATGTGGAAATCATTTAAAATTTAATTTAAAACTACTACCTACTCCTAAAAATTACAATTTGAATTTACCGCCATCTGTCAATTGTCATTTTAGTTCCAGCTCCAAACACAAGGTGGCGCTAATTTGGTTTAAAAGTTTAACATTGGCGTGGGGTCTCTAGAAGATACGTGCTTTGTGGTGCTCACTGCTTACTGGTTTCTTGCTCAGTCGTAAATAATAGTTCAATTATTTTTAACTTTACACTATCGTTGAAATTTTATTAATACGTAAGTATTAGTAAAATTTTCTGTTTTATTTTAAAAGTATGTATGTTAAAAATTACAACAACGTTCAGTTTGAATCATTCATAATTTGTAAAGTAATAAAAAAATCTATGTGAAAAAATGCTATCTGGGGCAATTGTATATGGGGTTTATTTTACCAGTACAATTGACCCCGAGTATATTTAAAATAATTTAGAGATACGTTTTCCTTTTTCAGATGCCTAGAAACCGAGCCAAAAAACTGATAGAACTTCCCGGACCACAGCAATGTACGAACAGGCATATGATGAAGTAGTATTCGATCTGCAGTTCTTAGTTTCGGACTATATCATGTGTCGTTGATTAGGTATAAAAAAAGGAGAGAGTATGTAATTTATGGCATAATTGTTACCATGGGCTATAAACCAGCGTCGAGAGTATTTTCGGATGCTCAAGAGTCAGAGCTTGCTAAATATTTGAAGAGATCGACCGATATTTATTATGATTAGTTTTCGAGCTAGCGGATAAATACAATATCAATAGGCCTAAAAACTGGGATGAACATTTGATGGCGGTTGAAGACTATTTCACCATGTTTTTGAAAAGAAACAAAACTTTATCGATTAGGGGTGAGATTACAGAACGTCTGCAACTTTGCAAATCTGCAAATATGGTGGACTTACATGTGCATGTATCAAGTTTTCGTATTCCAAAAAAGTTCTGCAAATTCGCAATATTTATTGCGGTTTATTAACCCCAACAAAACTAAACCCAAATCCATTACTATGTTTAAAAACTCGATAATCTGACACCATGAACTGTATTCAATTAAAAGAAACAGAAGACTTCATGGTTGTAGGATGTTATTCTAACCTTCTTAAGGGTGGATTTGGATTTAGTGTTGTAGGGGTAATAAATATTGCGAATTTGCAGATATTTTTTGGATACTTGCATCTGTAAGTCCGCCATATTTGCAGATATGCAAAGTTGCCGTCATATTTGCGGATCTGCAAAGTTGCAAACGTTCTGTAATCTCACCCTAGATCGGCAGAGACAACAAGCTTATCTAGAGCTACGAGTTTTAACCGCTGAAATGTAAATCTTTTCTTTGATCATTTATCTAAAGTAATTGCTCGAGATGGTTTTGAAGCTAAAGACATTTACAATCTAGACGAAACAGGTGTCATGACCGTACATAAGCCTGATCGAGTTGTTGTCAAAACAGGTGAACGTGGAACGCAGGTTACGGTAGCTTTAGCAGTTAACGTACTTGGCAATTATATCCCCCCTATATTTGTTTTTTCAAGAGTCCGATACCAAGATCATTTTCTAAGAGGAGTTCCATTGGAGTTGCCAACAGATCTGGATGGATGCAAGATGAAGAATTTTTTTAATTTCTTAAACATTGTCAACATCACACTAATTGTTCACCTTTCCACAAAATTATTATACTCATCTCATACATCTATAAAAGCATTGGATTATTGTTAAGAAAAGGGAATAGTAATTTTATCATTCCCACCCCACTGCTCACATAAGTTACATCCATTAGACAGATCTGTTTTTGGACCTCTTAAAAAATCTGTAAATCATTCCTGCGATGCTTTCATGAGAACTAATACCTTATACGATATCCCGAGTATTGTAGCAACAGCTTTGCCTTTAGCAGCGACCCTTTCAAATATACAAGCTGGATTCAAAGTATCAGGAATATATCCGTTCAATAGGGACATATTTACCGAATTAGAGTTTTCACCGTCATATGTTTCTGACAGTCCAAATCCGAATGAAGAACTGAACGAAACTTCAGACGAAAGGGATTTAGAAATTGTAAATATCAATATGCAGACCATAAATCAAGAGTTCAATATTTTGCCATCCAAACATACATCCCCTCAATCGTGCAGTAATAAACACACATCCCCTCAACCATCCACTTCAGCTCTTCAATTATCCTCTTCAACTCCTCAACCACCTACTTCAACTGTTCAACCATCAACTTCCAAAAATACAAATCCTTAATCATCTAATAGACAAGATACTGTTCCTAAACTATCACATCTAGATACTAGCAAAGATGAAAGCTATTGGCTATCAATATTAATTCCCATATCCAGAAAAAGAGAGGAAACCGAAGCTAGAGAAAAGAAAAAAGGGCCAAAGGTATCAAAAAAAATTTAAGTACTTGTCCTAAAATATGGAAAATTAATAAAGTTATCGAAGAAAGCAGTGACGAAGAAGAATGTTTCTGCTTAGTTTGTGTAGAGCCATTTACTTCGAGTCAACCAGGTAAAGAATGGATACGGTGCATATCCTACAAATTATGGGCTCATACATTGTGCATCAACAATGAAGCAGAATACATATATCGGGAATATATATCGGGACGGTGGTGTAGCGGTCTATCGCGCTTATATTCATTTATAGGCAAGTTTATGAGTCTGAGACTGCTGGGTTTCGAATCCCAGACCGGACCATGTGGATTTTTAATTAAATTGCATGGTTCGGTTTAGGATTTGATGTGTGGCGTATTAATAGAAATTCAATTTCTGTTGATATGACATGCAGATTAAAAAAATTCGCCATACATTACCGTCTCGATGATGGTGGGTGAGGTTTTCTGGGTTTTCCTCACCTGTAAGTCAAATGGCACCATCAATCATCTTTAAGTCGCCCCGGAGCGCCACGGCAAATAATAATAATAGCCGTCCCTTCCCCTACACAAGTCGTTCAGTCGACTTCAGGGGTTGAAATTCACTCGTAAGGGGGTGAATTAGGGAGAGTATTATTATTATATTATTATATTTGTCATAAGTGCGAATCTGATTAATTTGATGTTCATATTTTATTGATTAATAAATATTTTTATCAAAAATATATATTTATTTATGTTATTGTTTTTAACTCATGGTACAATTGACCCTGGGGCTGGTATAACTGACCCGATTATGGGGACAATTGTACCATTCTGCAACATATTTTTAAATAGTTAATATTATTTTTCCCTTAATCCTAAATAAAAATTACCATAAAATGTCATTGTCAGATTACTGACCAACATTCTATTAAAATTTTACTGACCTAAAATATATGTAGCAGTAGTAAAGAAACTTGGAAGTCAAAAGTACAATTGCACCCGAACTCCTACCTGGATCAGTGGTACTTTTGCTTTTGAGACATTTCCATTTATCTGAAATTATTACACGGTTTACTGTACTAAATAAAAAAATTAAATATACAGGTCATTTTCTAACTGTTCTAGATAAACTATTTAGCAGAGGTGGTTATATCTCTGGTCTCTTTTATCTAAGGGTGTGTAGATGAGCCACAGGTAGTAAACCTGAAATAATTAACAACAATTATTTAATTATTATAATATAATTGTTCGGAGAAGTAAATAATATTACTTACATGTTTATATTATCTATAATATAAAAAATTAATCGCAAAATGTGTTGGTAAGCGCATAACTCAACAACGCCTGGACCAATTTTACCAATTCTTTTTTTTTAATGTTCGTTGAAGTCCAAGGATGGTTTTTACGCCGAGAAAAATTCGAATAATTTCCGGGAAAACCCTACAAACAGCCCTTTTCTTTTTCCCATATCTTTCTATTTATATAAAAATGAATCCCTATTTCCGTTGGTCACGGCACCACGTGTGAACGGCTAGACCGATTTCGCTAATTCTTTTTTTTGTTGTGTTCGTTATTGTCAGGAGAAGGTTCTTATGAAAGAAAAAATTAAGAAAATTGCGCGAAAAATTAGAAAATCGTCAAATATATATAAAAATGAATCCCTATTTCCCTTGGTCACGGCATCACGCGTGAACGGCTGGACCAATTTCGCTAATTCTTTTTTTGTTGCGTTTGTTATTGTCAGGAGAAGGTTCTTATAAAAGAAAAAATCAAGAAAATTGCGTGAAAAATTAGAAAATCGTCAAATATATATAAAAATGAATCCCTATTTCTCTTGGTCACGGCATCACGCGTGAACAGCTGGACCGATTTCGCTAATTCTTTTTTTGTTGTATTTGTTATTGTCAAGAGAAGGTTCTTATGAAAGAAAAATTAAGAAAATTGCGCGGAAAATTAGAAAATTTAAGAATACTTAACCACCATATTAAATTATTTCCAATTTCTAATATACCTATATAAAAAATGAATCCCTATTTCCCTTGGTCACGGCATCACGCGTGAACGGCTAGACCGATTTCGCTCATTCTTTTTTTGTTGTGTTTGTTATTGTCAGGAGAAGGCTCTTATGAAAGAAAAAATTAAGAAAATTGCGCAGAAAATTAGAAAATTTAAGAATACTTAACCACCATATTAAATTAAACTTTTTTGATGTAACCTTATGGCGTTTGACATAACATTGACAGAATGCGTGCTGCAAATATTGTCAAAGATAAATATCATTTAAAACAGATGCTTCGATCAGAGTAGTATATCATAAAGCATTAGAATAAACACTTTGTTTCTGAAATATTTTTTTAGTTAATTATACCAATTCGAAATCAATATTCATAGTTAAGACAGGACAACCTCTGTCGGGTATGCTAGTTTTTAAATAAAATCGAAGTAGTGAGAAAAACAATACAAAATACAAATTTGAAAGGTTAAAAGTCAACAGAGTAAAATCACTTGAGGTACAGGTAGTTGTAAAGATTGTTTTCTTTATGTTTCAAAGGTTTGTTATTAAAAGCTGCTCCAAGTATTTCTTACCTCGTATAATAGGTTAATATACCTACGATACGTGATTACATTGTAATCACTTTCCAGTAATGAATATCCAGAAATGCGGTGTTCATTTCTGGTTCGGTTTTGAAATTACGGTAAAAGCACTGGCCGTGTCGAATGCGGATGAATGGCTGAATAGATCTATCTCATGCTTTGGAATAAATTCCTTTATTCCTTTGAAGATTTCTTAAATAATTTTTCTCTCGGCCTCTACGAAAATAATATATGTTGTATAGATACGGGGGTGAATCGAGAAACTTGTTATGTATGTGTAATCTTGAGTCTAGAAAAGAAATAACAAGGGTTATCCTTCCAGTGGGGTCTATTCTGTAACAATTCCTTTATATTTAACGGCCTTTAAAAATATTGGCGGCCTTTAAAAATATGTTCGTATTCGTTAATTTACTTCTGTCATTATTTGAACAGATTTCTTTAAGATAGTCCTCTAATGTATTTTAAAGATTCGTTTAAATAATTACAGAAGTAAAGAAGAAAATATTTTTAAAGGCCGTTAAATATAAAGGAATTGTTACAGAATAGACCCCTTTATTAAGTTTTAATATAAAGCCAAAACGACAGTTACAGAGAAATATTCATTATATTTGGAACATGATTAAAAAGTGCCAACACAATACACAATCATTGCTGTTAAAAATTAAGGCACTATACAAAATAAGGTCGTGTTCACTGCTACTAAACATTATGACTATCGGCTTACTGACAATCATTCAACTTGCAATTATATTGGTCTGGACGAGGTATGTTTTATTAACAATTGTTCTTAAAAATATTAACTAACAACTAATTAAAAACATTGTTAGCTAATAACGTGTTACCTAAGAATGTTCGCGTCGGGGTGGACGCGGCGTTTGTAAACAAACAGTTCGAACCTGTGAGACAGTATAAGAAGGGATGAAGGTACTGTGTATATAGGTACCAACGGTACTGTTATTGTATGATGTTTCGTGTTTTTGAATATAATTTTCTTGCATTGGTCAGTTTTATTGTAATTGTAATAAAATGTTCAATTTGCCTTATTTATTATTGTTGAAAAACATATATACAAAAATTAAAATGTATCATTACTTACGTATATCCATAAGTAAGCTTGCAAAATTATTAAAAATAGTAATAAATCAAATACAATAAAATTTAAATATTTTTTTCGTAAATATATCTGTATCTATAACAACAGTTTTGGTATACCCCGTTTTTTCATATTTGCGAATTAGTCTTTTTGCTCAATATCTGTAGGACACTTATATATTTATGCGGTGGTCTAAAGAGGGTAAACGTTACAAGGAGAATACACGAGCAACTAGACGTCCCTCTTCATACGATTTTTGACTTATTTTTGTATTTTTACATGGAAGCCTCACCTTTAAATATATTTAGGGTAGGCATTTTTTATTGAAAATGCATGTATTTCCAAACAACGAATATTATTACTATGCCAGATATTACTGTTTCTGATTTCCCATAGTCAGACGATTTTTATTGTAACGTTACCGGCCCAGTATCTCAATAGTAATACCACAGTGGTAATAAGGTTTATTTTTATAAAAATATAAATTAATAAACAGATACACATAAAAATAAACGAAAATACAAAAAAAATAAGATAACATAAACAGATATACACATATTTCACATATACAGGGTGTCCCGAAATTAGACGGTCATATTTTAACAGCGTAATCTACATTATAAAATAGAAGTAAGTGTTTCTATAAACATAGGTCTGAAAACGTTT